GAGCTGCACTGGGTGTCACATGTGGATGCACCTTTAGAGATGAGAAATGCTCTTTTACACTCAAACATACCCCCCCCCAAGTATAGCCATTGCCATTTTCCCTTTTATTTCTGCATAACTACAACAGTTTTTCATGCATAAGAGAACTTTCATATGCAACTAAACCTAAACTGCAGAGAAGCAAAAATGAACTTTAGGATTTAACAATTAAAATATATGTCATCAAGTACTTAAAGTTATGCCAGGTGTCTATACTAGTCAAGTATGGCAGCCTGAACTTCCAGATTTGGTTAGCGACCTACTCTGGTTACTGTCTAAAGCATGGTTAAATTTTTTAAGTTCATGTTAACATAAGACTGTTCCTGTTGATCACAGTACATAACATACCACTGTCTTATTTGGTTCAGCTGATGTTGTAGATGCTGGTTCCAGTCTAGTTTCCTCCAGGCTTTTGGTGAGCTGTTCCAGCTTCTGCTGAAGGGCTTGCAGTTCAAGGACAGCTGACTCTTTTTTCCTTATGGAATCTCTCTCTTCTTCTTCTAAGGATTAAACAATGATATTGAGACATTTAATCAGAATCCAAATGAGTTTCTCAACACAGACATTACAAGCTCCTTGAATTTAAAATGTGTATATATATATATATATATATATATATATATATATATATATATAGTCTGTGCAACTGCAGGACAACACTCAGATCTAGAGGTATAAGTTTGGGAGAGCAGATACTTCCCACATGACCCACTGTGCCTAACCTCTCAGTCCTCATCCCTCAGGGGAGGGCTACACACACTATCTCAGTGCTGGCCTAGCAACCAGCAGCAGCTTTAAGGCTTTTAGCAGTTAGTTCATGGGCTAGCCTACCTCTCATCTGCTGTGACCATGGTGCCAGGCTCAACCACTTTTTTTAAAAATGCATTAGCATCACCCCTCCTACCGAACCTCTCTCTTTTCCCCTGACTACAATTTATCCATTTCTTCCTTTACCAAATGAGATAATTAGTTCTTTTGTCCAGCAACATTCCCCAGCAACTTTTCTTCTCCCTTCCTATAAACGGTCAGATACACAACTAACTCACTTCTGAGCAGCTGCTCTATTTGCACTCAGTGGTTTTGCTTCTCCAAGACTTGTCTATTTGAAAGACCACCTACTTTTTCTCCAAAATGTCATCAATTCAGCAAAGGTATTACCTCGAATTACAAATTTTGCCTTTTCTATGCCTTGAGACCATCCCAGCTACAAGCACAACGTTGCTGACTAATACAAGGGGCATACCACACCTACATTGGCCAAAGAAGGCCAAGTGAAGAGAGTGTCAACTCTTCACTGCAGGATGCTTTTGACTGACTTGTGTCAAGGAGAAAGTGTGGCATCATACATAACCATACAACTGTTCAAAGCATGCTCTGCGCTCTCTGATTATAGCCTACTGATAGGACCCCAAGATACTCTCAAACTTGAATTACAGGTGGCAGAGCGTCGCAGCTAGAGCTCACATCACAGTAACTAGTGCTGTCAAGAGCTGCTCACACTTTCCTCCTGTTTCCTCAGAAGAAACACCACTGTCTATAAAAATCTAGGTTTGAAAGGACAAACCCAAGGGATGAGCTTAAACAGTAAATAGTGATGTCAGTCGTTTGGCATGTTACCCAATGTTTCCAAGCTCACCCCACCCCGTTTCTGTACAAGGATGCTAACTTGGACTTTGAGAAAGTTTTCATGCTTCAGTAGAGAGGTTAAATAAATGAACACAGCCAAGTACTAGTTTTTCAAGAATATGAGAATGTTTCTGAAATAGCTAGAGAGAAAGAGAAGAATACCCCATTCTTGCTGTCTTCGGAGGCGCTCATATTTCTTGAAGTATCTCTTGGCTCTGAGCTCCTCAAATGAAAGTTCAGAGTCTTCACATACGAGCAGATTTTTATCATACATTGCAATCTGCTCACATTCAACAACAGTAGATGACGACTTAGGATGAACTTCAGATTTGGAGACGTATGTAACATACTTTCTGTGAGGAAAAACAAAAGAAAGCTCTATTCAAGTTTATTTGATTTATTCTGGGATTATGTTAATTCTCCCACAGTGTGACTTTAAAAAAACCCAGACACTTACACTTCTTCTCTTCTACCAGAAGAGCAGGATTGAATACCAGCAGAATCAGGATCCTAAAGCAGGGCAGAAGAAATAAAAAAATTCCAATATTATAGTTAACCACTCATTTTGACAAGAACAGCAACTGGGAAGCCCCTAATATTTAATTTTGATTGAAGAGATGACATTTCAGACCACTAGAATGGAAAGAGAGCTCTACAAGTCATCAGAGCCTGAAGAAGTTCATCCCGAAGAATCATCCTGTTTGCTGTAATCTCTGAGCACTTTTGGAAGATGAGAGAGATCCCAGAGAACTGAGACAGATGTAGTTCTGGAAATTGCAGTCCAGAAGGACAAAGAACTAGTCAACCAGATAGTTTCTATTTTAAAAAACAGGAATGTTAAGTTATAGATCACTTGGGTTTGTTAAGAATAGATTGGGTGGCCACATCCAGTTTCTTTCTTTGACAAGCTATCCAACCTCAGTGCTACAGAAGAGGCAGCAGACACAGTCAGTTTTAAGCTCTGTTCCATCACCCAAGAAATCTTTCCATATCTGCCAGTTTGGTATTGCCTGAAGAGCCATGAGCACTTCAGAAAACAGGACCAAGTTGAGAAAGGTTACATCAGTTTCCCACTTGAAGTCTTACAGTCTTTAACGTCGCCCTCCGTTCACCTTTGACTGGATCAGACTGTGATGAATTGTTACTAGCTTTGTCAAACCTCAAAAGACTGAGAGTGCTGCATTCCGGTACTTATCTGCATTACAAGAAATATGTTTTCTTTTTTTGGTTGCTTTATTGTGAGGAAGGAGGTGAAAGAAGATAATTACAGGGTGATGGGATTTGGACTGTGAAGTTAACTTAAGATCTCCATGCAGTATGAGAAAAACCTCAGCTGGGACTTGCTAAAGCCTGACCTGGCAACCTACATGGGGGCTAATGAACTGTGACAGTCATCTAGTTATTGCCTGTTTCAACAGAGTGACTTCTGTAAAAAACTACCATCCCACTGAGGGCCAGCCTGGAAATTTTTCTTCTGCCTCTGGCATTATCTTCTATACATTCTTAGAGAGAGTATTTAACAAGTAACTTGAATTTCATCAAAATGCAGTGTAGGCAATTTCTAAAAAGCATTGAGTGGCACAGAATCTATTGATCTTCTTATTCTTCCAAAGAATGCTAACCAGGTGGATGGATCACACTCTCTCTGTGATTCTGGAAATGTGTTGAGTGACTAAAAACGGTCCCGATACTTCCTAATTGAGATATTTCTATGAAGATGTTACTGATGTTTTTATATTGTAAGCATCACATTTTTGATATACAGCAGATACACAGAATATTTTATCTTTCTTACTCAGTCAAGCTCATCAATCTAAACTTTATGTGAGGGCTCCACATTTTTCCCACAATGTCTAAATTGCTTATTAATAATCATTTACCTGAATTTTGCAAGCGTACACTGGGTCATTAAGATTTGAAACACCTTTTTGAGGAGCCATTTGATTTGCAGCATGCGAAGTTTGAAGCGGTTTTAGAACAGCAGCACCTGGGACAGATAACATAGGTTTGCATTAATGAACAGAAATTATTTTCTCAGGTATTAATTTCTATTAACTTTAAGCATTAGAAAACTAATACCTCATTTTGAATATACTCCCCTTGAGAATTTTAAATATAGCCAAGAAAACAGGAAAAAAACCCCTGTTTCTACAGGAAACATTTACTTCAGTGACAAAACTCACTGATCAGAGTACAAGATTCATCTAATTGAGCTACGGCTCACAGGCAGATGTCTTTAGTCTCACCTTGCAAAGGAGGGTTCCGAGGATCATAATTCTGCAGCCAGCTAAATTGCAAGAAACGTCAGTTATTATCATTAAGTGATCCGTCCCTCATTTCTTCCCCCCCCCCCCCCCCCC